AATACACCTGAAGAATTGATAGCCTTGGCTTGCATGATGGACGACATCTCAACAGAACCATGAGAACTTTGAACAGCTTTTAACCATTCTAGGTGRCGACAGGTCTCAGCCTAAGAAAAACCATTAATTGTTAGTTTCCAAATCAATGGTGATATAGGGATAGTGCCTCGTGTCTCATCTCCGTTGGGGTTCCAGCCGTTAGCCGTACCCCGACTTTGATCAGCCCAGAGGCTGTTTCAGGGTGTGGATAAAATTTGTTTAATATAGTAATGTGAAAGATTATACTTATTCATTTGTCTCACGATTGTGGCAGTTAGGTGGACCGGGAAATTTCGACTTTCACTGCTATTCTTCATCAGGCGATGCTGTAGACTGGAAGGAGGTGTCAGCTGATGAGCTAGCAGAGAGCAGTCGAAACGTCGCGGTCCTCCCAACTGCCACAAATGTGAGGCAAATAGTAATGTGTTATGATATAGTATCAAAGGAAGACCTTATTGTAAATTTAATCAAACTAACCAGTTTTACAGATAGCTTCCTATCTTGCTTCACTGCCTCCCACACTGGTTYGCATGCTTCCATCAAATCTTCAAAACCAAACTCTTCATTAAGATCAAAAATAAGCGGCGCAAAACTAAGGCAGCTTGTGTGGAAATTTGAGATTCGATCGACTTCGAGATCATTCTCGCCTGCAGAGATCATGGCCAGATCCACTAGTGTACTAAGAGCACTTGTATCTGCAGAACAAGCAGTCAAACATTTAKTATTCACTCAGGCAGGTATAACGATAGACAATTAAGACTCATTTCCTTAGACCAATCAAAACCCAGTCTATTTTGTGGGCACTAGACCACMGATGTTTCCTGAAACGAAGCCGAAGTACTCTTTTGACCAATGAAAAGCAAGAAAAAGCGAGCTATAAAAATTGACTTTTATTACGTTACCTTTTATAGTTTCCCGTAGCCACTTGACCAAAGGTTCACATTTTATCACTGCATCAAGACAATGGGAATTTTCAAAGGAAATTTGGTTCAAGTATTTGCCAGCTTTAGTAAATTTTTCATCAATGCTTTTGAGATCCTTGTCTTTAAACTCTTTGGATGCCTGGAAATATTAAATTCTTAGTTTCACAAATTTGAAAAATTGCTACAACATAAAGCCAATTTTAGAGCAAAAAAAGAGCATAAAAGATTCAAAAAAATGCAAAGTATACATGTACCTGATTACGTAGCTCCTCTATGACACCAAAGTCTCCCTTGAGYCCAAGAGCTTCCTTGAAATTCCAAACATTTTCAGCTGCTCCTATGTATTCTTGAAGGCTACGATATCGAGTAATTTGGCTGACTCTTTCACTGGCGACCTTACCCATTGTAAAAGGAATTTCATTTACAGTCTGCCTAAACATAACATCCAGCTCCTCTTTCAAGTTTTCTATTGATGTTATTTTTTTAAAGTTCTTGTCGACATCTTTGAGACTGATAGAGCCATCGTAAACTGCTTTTGCGAGAAGAGTCGACTTCTTATTTGATGAAGGCCAAATTTTTTCTTGTACATCAAGTAAAGTTAGTTCTCCTGACAACAACTGGTTACCTTTCTTCTCTGTGTACAAAGCCTTACAATTTCTTCTCCAAATGTCCTGGAATGTTTTACTTTTGTAGGCATCCGATAAAAGAGGGAGGATGGAATGAAACCTATTTGGTAAGCAGTCAAAATACACAACCTCTACTCTTTCTTCTGCATGGTCATCACCTGGTGGGGCACGCTTACAAAGGTCTGCCATCCTTACATCTGACATGTTACAAGTTGCTTTTACTTGCAAACTCCCAAAATCAAAGTCTGCAAATAAAATTTTTAAATTGAGTTAGATATAAGACTTAGAGAGAGAGAAGTGTAGCTAAATTATTAATATTCCCTTTGGAGGCTTACCAACATCCTTCGTAGATTTGCAAATATCGATGAAACGTTGAACGTGTCCTTTYGTGGTAAGGAATAAACGATATTCTTCATTTCTTTTTTTCAGGTTCCTTCTTACATCTTCTACAGAATGCGGCTTTTGATTTTCTTCTGATTTGGTTTGTATTTTTGACAAAGCAATGCACAGGCGTATGAAGTTATCCTCGTGTTGATTCAATGACGTCAAAGTTCTGACGTTAATGGATCCATCTGMAAGACCATCCTGGGCAGTAACTAAACAGCCAATCACACGCTGGAGCAGGTTACTAGCATCTTCACTAAGTATCCTTTKCTTCTCTTGTGAGCCTAGAAAACAACAATAAATGATTAAGTTTGCAAAGGTTCATACTTTGGCATTATTTAGTGCATTATGCACGTTTTCAAGAGGTACAAACCCATAGCATTAAGTCTTTTTCCATGAAAAGTAGTGCAAAGCAAGTGAATTCCTTTTACATGTTAGCTCATACATTTTGAAAGGCGCTAGAAAGTATTTTTAACTTAAAAGTGACACTTTGCATTTTTTTTATATAGTTTAAATTTTTTTGTCATTTCAAAAGCGAGCAGCGAAAAAAGCATTCTATAATAAAGGTGCCAAACTGTTTAATGACCTTAATGATGATAATGATCATCATCCTCATCATCATCAGTCATTACTAATAAACGGGAATGAATTACATAATTTTATAAAATGAAGGAAGACAAAATACTGAGGAATGGGTTATGAATGAGAGATATTTTACCATGAAAGCTAAAAAACCCTGCCCAGGGTCTCCATGTCAGAGCATATAGTAAGACGTCATGATCTGTTACTTTTTTGTTAGCTGTTGCTTTACTCCAGGCACGAGTTATCATTCGTGATAACAGTTCCCCAGCCTTTGACGAACCTCCACTTCGTAAGATCTTTTTTTGCAGAGCGTTGAATGAACGTTCGTCGCTTCCTCCTTTCTAAATTTCAAGAAAACAACACCAAAAATATACTACTACATACAACAGTAAAGCCAAAGTTGGCCAGATCCTTTATCGGCAAGCAGGGCTAAAACTGAGGTCCGTATATACCTATTTCAATAAACATTGTCATCGCTAAAAGCAATAGGCGATAGGTCATTCTGGCATGGAAATTGTTTCGCTGAATACGAAGAACGTTGAATCAGTCTCAACATTAAGGTCCATGTTTTTGACGAGAATAAGAACCAGAAACAAAAGTCATTACAGCTATTCTTGGATCTTGGAAGACCCATCTCCTATTGCTTTTCGCCTATAGCCTGTTGCCTATCTTCTTTGGCGATGACAACGTTTTTTGAAACAGGTGTATGTAGCCACCGTGCTCGGGTGGTCAGGTTTAACTTAACCGTTTAGTGAAGCACCCAACCGACACATCAAAGCTTTGTTTAACTTCCCAAGTTCTGGATTTCCTACCGGGACCACTTCCCAACTGTGGGATACTTACTAAAGCTTCACAACTGAAAATCAGTGAGGATCAAATTTTTGTTTTTTAAAAATTTGCAAAGGAAACCATACCTCTACAATACGTTCTACTATGGAAAACGTATGTTGTGTGATGGACTGCACAAGAGCCTGGTGGAACTTGTCATTCATTTCTACTTCACAGAACAACTCGACGACATCCTCATCATTTACCTAAATGCAAGGACATTACAAGTTTGCATTGATATCAAAGTAAAAGGAAACAATTACGCACCCTAAAATAACGTACTAACTCTCAAAAAATACCTCCTTTAATCTCTTCTCAAAAAGAGAGACAATGCGATTTATCCAGTTGTCTTCTACATTCTTTCGGGATACGTTGAGGTTAAGTAAGGTGCTCCATACCTATATGAGTCAGAAATGATATATTTATGACCACATTGCTAAAAGATAGGTCACCGAGTTATTGCATTTGATATTAGATATTAATAGTAGAAATATATATGCAGATATATCAGGTAGAAAGGTAGGTCTGAACTGCAGTCTTCGTAAGGCTTTGCTTCTAAGTTTTCTTCGTTCATTCGTTCATTTTCGTTCGTGCGTTATTGCGTACGTATATATACTGAGGGCACATCTCCAACACAAAGGAAGAAACATATTACCTTCAGTTCCTTTACTTGCTGTGCCATGTATGACGACAATGGAGAATAAAACTCCTTTTTTATTGCTGATTCTACCATGTCTTCTATCTTAAAGAATATGTCTTCACATTTGTGCTTTATATCATCATCTGTCAATTGTCCCTGGCGTTGGTTTTCCATCGTCTTTCTTTCATCTTCAGGACCATCAACCGAGCAAAGCGCCTCCATAGCAAACTGAATACCAGTGAAAAACAACTTGTCCTTGGATTGAACTTTCTTATTAAGTTCTTGCAAAAGACACATTGACAAATCGGCAAAAAGCAAAGCTTTCGATT